GAGCGTCTACCTTTCGAGACCCGCCCCGTATTGCCACCACCGACCGACCGTCCGGGTTAGGCCGAATCTGTTGCTAAAAGGCAGCAGGTAAGTTCACGCTCCGTGCGAGCGGACCGGTTCCTTGGCGCAGCCCATGTTGATCATAACACAAAATCCACAACTGCTCTTCTTGATCTGAATTCACCATCGTAATCGCCCCGCCAGAAGCCCCGGTGTCACCTCTCCATTCGCTGGCTCCGCCAAGGAGCGAGCAAGCTATACGTTCGTGGCTCCCCTCACCCGTTTCCCACTGTGCATGCATCTGGCGCATTTTTGCGCCAGGATTCCTTCTTCTTTCCTCATCTCCTACTACATCCCACGCACTATCTTTCTCCTCCTTTTGATCGTACCATTCAGTTCGCCTTTCCTGAAAACCACGTTTTACCACCCTCTCTCACCCGGCTTGATCCTCCTCTCCCATCCTTTCTCTGTCCACCATAGCCCTCCGCGCGGTCAGTTCCCCAGTTACCTCCTCCTACAGTAAGCTGCACACTAATCTAAGTTCATATTCGGGGTCGCTGGCCCCGAAAACCCCTTATTTGAGACTTCGTCCGTTCGTTTTCGTCAAGAAACGAACGAGGTGGCCATTTCCTCCTCTTGTTCCCTCTCACTTCGGCCATAGCCCGACGCACCCCCTTTCTTCATTAACTCTTCTTCTACTAATCCTCGTTTAAATCTAACTGTACCACTATAGTCGCCCGTGGTAAAACCCCCAAACTCGCCCCCTCCCTCACCCAATTCCATCAAGGAACGGGCGGGCTACGATTCCCTGGCTGCGCTCGACTCGTCATCCCGCCATCTCGGTTTGGAATGTACCTGGCGCCGCCCACGTCCAGGTTCATTCGCTCGTTATTGCTACCCCGTTGGTCACGTCTCCTCCCTCGCTGTCTCAGCGCCCTTCTGCCCTCAAGGCTCCGTCTGCCTCTGCCTCGCCCCCCCGTAGAGCCTTTGCCCCCGCCAGTTTCAGCCCGCCGCTACCACCTCCGGCGGCGCCAGGCCAGTCTCTTCGCCATCTCCAGTCCCTCTCTGCATGTACCTGGCGGGTTGGCCTTCCCGATTCGCTCCCCACCCGATGCTCAGCTACCTGCTCCCACTACATGCAGAGAGGGACTGGAGATGGCGGAGAGACTGGCCGCCCGCTACCCGTCGCTCAATACCGCTGGGCTGCCTGCCGTTGCCCCTGGCTATCTCCGACCATCGCGTTCACCCGGCCTTCCCCACCTCTCCTTGTATCAAACGTACCGGTGCGAAATCGCGCCCGGGTTCATCCTCCTTGGCTCCCCTACTCTGCGCCGCGGCCCGTCGCTCGCTGCTGCTCCACGCAGCATCCCAGTCACCCCGCCCGACGCCCCTCTCTGTGGTGCTCCATGCTCCGCTGTCCTGCCGACTGGCCCAGTGTGATGGGCCCGATGCTACTAAGGCAGTGCCCGTCCGACATCCGGCGGTCGCTCCACAGCGGCTTTCCCTCCGCCGGCCTCTGCCACCTTGTTGCGCATGCACCCGGCGTCCAACCCCGTCCCAATTCACCTTTCCTTCTCCTGCCTATTCCAGCGCGGCCTCCCGACAGTACAGTTTGGGACGGCTTTACTGCGGACCGATTGGCACCACCCCCCTGCCGTCCGCTGTACTTAGTTTGACTACCGGCCCTTGCAGCTCCGCTATGCCACCCCCTTTTCCCCACAGCGCTTTTACCCTGCTTAGAGCCCGTTGCCCCTTCGGGCTCCCGACAGTCAGACCCCACTCATACGGCTGGCCGCGGACTGGGGGTGCGGCCTGCTCTAAGGCCTATCTTGGAGCATGGGCCTTGATGAATCAGCCCCGATACGGCTCTCGGTAGCAACAACAGATGCTCAGACGGGGACTCTGACGGCCGCAATGGGGAAGGGGCATCGTGCGGGCAGCCCTTACAGTCCGCGGCCCGCCCCAATGCAAGCCCTGACGTTTTTGCGCCCCAGTGGGCACGCACGCACTCAAGGCCCTCGTCTGTCGCGACGGCGACCCGTGCTCGACGACGGCCTCGATGATTGAGGTAGGAATAACAAAAACAAATAAGTGAATAAAAAAAAAAATCGAAAATAACCGCACGCATCCACTAGTCCACAACGCCGCACATACGTAGGCTGCGCATGGTTACCCCTCGCCGTCAATACCCCACGCCGCCACGCGTGCCTCTCACCCTGACAAGAACCTATGCTTTCGCTCACGCGCACGCTGTCAGGTGGGCGACACTGCACTTGCATGACTTGCAGAAAACACGCCAAATACCCTTGGGGTATTTGATACGACACCGTAGACTGGTAGTGACAGTCCTCGGCCAAAAGGCGAGGAAAACAACTCAAACTCCGCAGGATCTGACCCTTGTGGTCCCGCGCAGGTTTGCGTATGCGATGAGTGCTGCGAGCGGGCGTGGACTGGAGGGCACTGCTCGGGAGACTTCGCAAGCTGTTGTCACAGGCCAAACCCCTGTGACTTATACCGTCGCCGGGCAAGGCAGTGGTACCAGTCGGGCTGGCGAGGCAGTTCTTCAGCTTGGGTGAGTGTCACATCATCCGTTTGATCCCTGGTAGCAATCCTCTGTCGATTTAGGTAGCTGTTTTGTCTGTCGTATGTCTGAAAATCTTGTTGATGCTTGAAGTTGTTTCTCACCAGGTTTGTAGATGCTGTCGGTGAATGGTTGTGATAGGAGTTCTAGTTTCAACCGTTTAGTACCAGTACCATCTGACAAAGCGACGATTGGAGGAAAGCTGGGCTGTTGAAACTGATTCCAATGGGGTTTGTTATCTTAGGCATACTGAAAAAGAAGATTGAGAGAAGAAAAAAACAGAAAGAAGAATATTAGATTACTTCTTCCAAAAAAAAAAAAACTCTCCGAGGAGGGCGAAGAGTAGTGCAGCCATAGCCTTATTTCGATCTTCCGTACCGTACTCTCTTCTATTTATTTAGATCTTCCGTACCGTACGGAGAACCGGACCTCGGCCGAGGTTCCATTAGCAAAGAGGATCGGATCGAATGTCTGAACGTGAACGTGTTTCATGCAAAGATGCAGAAAAGCAGTTCAATCTCGAATTCCTGCACCTCTCGACAAACACGTCCAGATTCAGGCATTCGATCCGATCCTCTTTGCTAGTGGGACCACGCCCCTCATGACAAAGAGTTCCCAATTTTCCCGAAAAAAAAAATGTTTATTTGTATTTTCCTCGTCGACAAAAAAATTGTGGGAAAACCCCGCCAATGTGGCTGAATGGTACGCATATGTGACTCTTAAACCACCAGTACTTGGCCCAGCTATCGGCCGCGGGCCTTCCCGTATATGCGCCGCAGCCTTAGGTAGGTCGGCCAAGGGAAGGCCCGGTCGCTGCTGAATGGCCCGGCCCCGGTTCACTTGGAAAGACACCACAATGAAACAACAAAGAAAGAAAAAAAAAATTCACATACACAAAAATTAAAAAAAAAAGAAAACGAAATGTAAAAAACAGAGTTGCGCGCGCGCGCGCGCGCGCGCGCGAGAGAGAGAGAGAGAGAGAGAGAGAGAGAGAGAGAGAGAGAGAGAGGGGCGCCGTGCAGGCCGCTGCCCCTCTCTCTCTCTCTTCGAAAAACAAAAACGGGAAGGAATTTTTCCGCTTTCGCGGGTAGATCCATTCCCATATCGGAACAGACTATGGAACGAGCGCCAGAGAGAGAGAGAGAGAGAGAGAGAGAGAGAGAGAGAGAGAGAGAGAGAGAGAGAGAGAGAGAGAGAGA